TGCTTTGCATGCAGCTCCTTTAGGTGACCTCTGTAGAATTATCGTTTGCATTTCCATCTTGAAGGAATTGGGGTGTGCGCTATCCTGCATATGTGTACTACTTAGTAAAAAACATTCCGAATTTCAATGTTCTTAATCATTCATACTGATGGTCCAAAACCAATTACCGTTCAGTTTCGTCTTGTTGTGAAGACGGCTTTGAAGTTACTGCTGGTGTTCATCGAGTACAACGATAATAACGCGCTTTTGGTGCTCGCCGCTATTTCAGCCGTGGATCGCATAAAAGGTGAAGAAAATTTTGCAATATTCAGAACGAGAATGAATAATGATAAATTTGCTTTAAATGCTCCTTTGTAATCTACCTAAGATGACCTTGTGCTATAGGCCAACAAGACTGGAGTGCACTCATGAAGGTGATATCAGAGAAAGACTCACCCGATCCAGAAACCCTTGTCTATGGGATGACTGTAATAAACAAGACACTTAGGGGAATCCCAGACAGTGTAAGTTTTGCAATCGAGGAAGAGGTGGAGTACTTTTGTACTCTATCATGAGTAGAAAAACCCAATTTTTTCCTCATCATTCTTCATTAGATGAAAAGCGAAATCTTCCTGTTTTATAAATTCTTCGCCAGCTTTAGGACACATATTATGACGCCGTCGATACTTTGGACATGCTGGGAATGGAAAATGCCATGAAAGGCATGGTCAAATTGGGAAATCCAGAGCTGGTGGAGCAATGCCGTCTTTACGAACGCGAACTAAATAAGGAAGATGAGCGCGCCGAAAACAGCGACGACGACGCAAACGCTCGGATGCGGTGGGTTTCCGCAAATCCTTTTCGTTTCATGACTCAGCTGATAACCACCCGTTTATGATTCTTAAACATCCAAATGTTGTCTCTTCGTAAATCCTCCATCCAAATAACACTATTTGATTTGAAAATTTGAATTCAGAAGTTTTAAGAGGATAAAATTAGGCTCGTATAAAAGCCACTATTGTTTATGGGATGCAACCATGGTGTTCAAGTGACTCAGCACCAAGCGTTCGGCAAAAATATCACCGAATTAACGCCTGAGGAGGAGTTAAACACTCAATTAGAACTGAATAAAACCAAAAAATTTTAAGGAATATGAGAGTGCAACCCCAATTACAGAATTGGCGAGTGGGAATCAGTATTATTTTAACAATGATTGACACTCTCGGGCGCACAGTCGGATGAAAATTTCTGCATAATGAGTAGACGTTACATTCAGCAGAAATTGAAGGGGTTGCAGTTATAAGAAGAAAGTTATATTAACATTAGGAAAAGCAGTAGCCAAGCTCAAACGCAGGAGAGTTAGAGGCATAGATGCATTATCGTGAGAAATGGCTCACCTCTTCCACTTCAGGATGAGAGGCAAGCTTACCCTTCCCTCTTCCTCCCCCCCCCCCCCCCCCCCCCCCCCCCCCCCCC